CCCCTAGTAGCTTCTTGTCACTAGTAGCTACTTGCTCCTAGTAGTACGGCCAGGAGCCCCTAGTAGCGTCCGTAGCGATGCCAGGAGCCCCTAGTAGCGTCCTTGCTCCTAGTAGCGATGCCAGGAGCCGCTAGTAGTAGCGTCCTTGCTCCTAGTAGCGATGCCAGGAGCCCCTAGTAGCTACTTGCTCTTGGTGCGGCCAGGAGCCCCTCCTAGTAGTACGGCCAGGCCCCTAGTAGCGTCCTTGCTCCTAGCAGCGATGCCAAGAGCCCCTTGTAGCTTCTTGTTACTAGTAGCTACTTGCGCCTAGTAGTACGGCCAGGAGCCCCTAGTAGCGTCCGTAGCGATGCCAGGAGCCCCTAGTAGCGTCCTTGCTCCTAGTAGCGATGCTAGGAGCCCCTAGTAGCGTCCTTGCTCAAAGTACGGCCAGGAGCCCTAGTGGCTTCCTTGCTCCTAGTAGCGATGCTAGGAGCCCCTAGTAGCGTCCTTGCTCCTAGGAGCACGGCCAGGAGCCCCTAGTAGCGTCCTTGCTCCTAGTTTGCTATGCCAGGAGCCGCTAGTAGCGTTCTTGCTCCTAGTAGCGATGCCAGGAGCCCCTAGTAGTGTTCTTGCTCCTAGTAGCGATGCCAGAAGCCCTTAGTAGCGTCCTTGCTCCTAGTAGCGATGCCAGGAGCCCCTAGTAGCTTCTAGCAATGCCAGGAGCCCCTAGTAGCGTCCTTGCTCCTAGTAGCGATGCCAGGAGCCCCTAGTAGCGTCCTTGCTCCTAGCAGTATGGCAAGGAGCCCCTAGTAGGGTCCTTGCTCCTAGTAGCGATGCCATGAGCCCCTAGTTGCGTTCTTGCTCCTAGTAGCAATGCTAGGAGCCCCCAGTAGCGTCCTTGCTCCTAGTAGTACGGCCAGGAGCCCCTAGTAGCGTCCTTGCTCCTAGTAGCGATGTTGTGGCGTCCTTGCTCCTAGTAGCGATGCCAGGAGGCCTAGTAGCGTTCTTGCTCCTAGCAGCGATGCCAGGAGCCCCTAGTAGCATCCTTGCTCCTAGGAGCGATGCCAGGAGATTCTAGGAGCCCCTGGTAGCGTCCTTGCTCCTAGTAGTACGGCCAGGAGCCCTTAGTAGCGTCCTTGCTCCTAGTAGCGATGCCAGGA